TCCCCAGATATGGTTAATGGACAAGTTACAGGTCGTGGACTCTTGCCCGGCCTATTCAGCTCGAGGCTACTTCTTTCGGCCGCGCCTAGTCAATGCTCTTGATGAAAGATGGTGGTTTGACTGGATGTGCAATCTGTCCGCAGATCGTATTGCTTGGCGTTGCCCTTGGCTCAACCTCCCGGCAATGAGCTATAGTATGTCCCGGCTGATTGGGATCCAATTGATTGGTCTAACCCACTGCGTATTCTATTTTCCGTTTCGGTTCCTGTGTCAGTTCGGTCATGATCAGACCTACCCACCGGAGGGGATTGAGTACCCAGCTGCTTTCCCGGTCCGGGGTGCACAGCTTGCCCGATATGCCACAGCATGGAGGACTAGAGAGCTCCTGGTCCCTGCTCCCACTTTCAGTTGCACTTTGTCTGACGAGTGCTTGGATTGGCTCAACGAGGAGGCACAGGTTGGGCATAGCTTGGCATCAGATGCTTCGACCAACTCTGGGAGGGGGCGCGGAGATACTTGACTCGACTATGCCCCAAATTTATTGCTTTATTAGTACTTTCAAGTTTTCTTTATGAATGTAATAAAAAAGCAACCTCGATTGTAATGCAAGAGCAGGAGAACTCTGTTTTGAAATCAATGAAATTGAAAGTTGTGGTACTGAAAATTTTCCGCTTTGGTCCAAAAATGGTCTTAGTTGTAAAAAAGATTAATTTGAACAAAGTCAACTTTTATTAAAACTTTTCAAAACTATTTTCGATGTGGATCAGAACTGGACACGCCGAAGATCTGTCACTGAGATGCACAACCCCAGATCCCTGCAACTGGAAAGTTGCCCCTAGTCTGAAGAACAATGCGGCCCTGCATGGCAACGAAAAGTTGCCCCTAGTCTGAGTAACTTTGCACCGTTGCGGCAACGGAAAGTTGCCCCTAGTCTGAATAGCACTTTACCGGAGATCGCGATAAATGCTGATGGATAAAGATGACTGAGATGATCAAAATGGACAGAGTTGATCGGGGAAAAGTTTATGGCTGAACTTCAAGGTGAAGTTGCCTACGTATCCCAAAGATGGGAATCAAGCCTTACGTAGTTCAGGCCATAAATAACCAAATGTAACCCCCACCACTTCAACAAAGATGACCAAACCTTCCACACAAAAAGGCAATAAAGGAGCATAGAATAAAGTTTCCTCCAGACAGGACCCCAATACTCTATAAGAATACAAAGGTATTTACCTTGTGTTTCCAAGCAAGCCAGCCAAAAAACTGAACTTTAGGAAGTAAGACATTATTCCATAGCAATCTACTTTGTAAACTCTTATTATATATAATCTCAACTCTAACTCATTATTCTTAAAGCTTTAGTATTTTTTAATTTTTTTTGTTTGTATTTTTGTTAATTTAGGAATTGAAAAGTATTTATTAAATGGATGGATTGAATAGGTTTGAAGTGGTGAACAAATAACTAATTTAATATTTTTATATAAACTAGTGATTATAGTAAAAGTGGTTCAAGTTTGAAAAGTCCTAAATCGATTAAATCGCACTGCACCAAACTGTTTCAATAGATTCAGTTCGGTTTGATGGGAAAAGTGATTTGTATCTGTGCTCAAAATAATAAAACTGACATTATCGATTCAGTGAAATTTTTTACCTAAATACCGACTATACCAAACCAATTACATCCATACTTGTGGTATGACTCAATTTCACTTTACCTCGCTGTCTTTTAGAAATAACCACATATCTCCCATGTAGTTTTGGACTAAAATGTTACAGTTACATTTTCTATCCAAATTAATGGAGAGTGTGTGAGAATGGGAAAAGAAAAAAAAAATAGTTAAAGTTAAATTTCAATATAGGAAGATGAAACTAGCATTGTTTTACTTTTTATCTAAATTTTTTATTTAATTACATTTTAAATTAAACATGCATATCATATATATATATATATATATAAAATTAAATTAACCTAAACACCTTAATTTATTATTATAAAAATTAATCATTAAATTATTTTAATCTAATTTTTTATTTTTAAAACAATTTTTTATTTAATAAAATTTTAAAATAAACATAAACATATATACACACACATATGTATATATATAACAAATTAAATAATAAATTAAACTCAATATTATAATTTATTACCATAAAATTACCTTATTTAATAACATTTTAAATTAAACATATACATAATACATATATATATATATATATATATAACAAATTAAATCATAAAAGTCATGTCATCTAATTTTTAATTTTTAGCTCAATTTATTATTTGATAAAATTTTAAATTAAACATGTAAATATATATTTAACAAATTAAATCATAAATTAATTAAAATTAAAAATGAAATTTATCAAAAAAAATATTTAGGGAACTCTAGTTTCTTAAATTAGTTTTGTGTTATTTTTTTAAACTTTTTGCTTAGTCATGGGGGTAAATTTATTTATTTATTTATTTACAAAGAGAGCAAAAAATAAAAGAAGACATAAAGGGTAAAGTGTTATCGAATCATACTACAAAAAGGTAAAATAGATTTTTCCCAAAAATAAAAATGAAAACAAAGAAAATAAAGAATGCATAGGCAATATGTATTCAACTTTAACGTGTGCGACACCTTAGCCCATATTGGATAGATATTAATAGTCTGGCCAACCATACATGGAATAACCCATCCTAAACTATGTGAGGTCTTTTCTGAGAGGCCATAAAAAAGCATATCGTGATGGTCCACGGACCCAAAGCATATCGTGATGGTCCATAGACTCAAAGCGAACAATATCAATATCACATAGATGGTGGGGATGGGTTATTATGCTTAAAGAATTGAGGTTATATATGAATTTTAAATTTAAAAAAATATTTAAAAGTTAATAAGACAGTAGAGAGCCTTCAATAAATTAGTCAGTACAAATGAAATACATAATGTGAGTCATAGATACAAACCATAATCACCATGTCAACCCACAAATTATCATTGGCCAATATTCAAATAGGGTCATGCAATGCGGCTCTTGTATTTCTACTTCGTATTTAACTGCAAGTCACAAAATTCACTAGAATAACTTTTATTTTATTTGTTATGCAGTCTGTTAGATGTGGCATGCAGATTGCTGCTATGACTTACAAATACACATTATAGATTGGAGGATAGCTTGAATCCAATAGTTTTTCCCTTAAATTCTGTAATATGTTTGTTTGAGTGGAATGGATTTATGGAATTAGCATTATTAGGACGGTTTAGAATTTTAATCATTTTGGATTATGTATCATATCCTATGTTTGGATTGGTACAGGATTATACGATGAGATTGATAGTCCGAACCTCTCATTAATCTTTTATTTTGTACGAGAGATACTATGTATTTATGCATTTTATTAGGTTATTAGTCTAATCCTATGGCCAAGTTCGTCCAAACAAATATGCCCTAAATGTAAAACTAGCAAGCACTTGGAGCTTTGCATACCATTTGGCTTCTAAGTTGGTATTTGATGAAGTGGAATAAATGTTGGAATGGTACTGATTATTCCACCGATTTGGTAAACAAGAAAGGAATGTGTATTGCAAATTAAATCACTATTCACCAATTTAGAAAAAGGATAAAAGACAACTTTAGTACCTAAAGTATGCGACCTTATCATTTTAGTCCTTTAAGCTTCAATTTTGTTATTTTGGTCCTCCAAATTGTCAATTTGAGTCAATTTAATTCTAGGTCTAACGTCCATCTACATTGATACAGGAATATAGATAAAAGACAGTTTTAGTCCCCAAAGTATGCATTCCTTGTTAATTTAGTCCCTTAAATTTTAATTTTGTTATTTTGGTTGTCAAAGTTGTCAATTTGTGTTAATTTAGTCATAGCTCAAACTAGAGGTGAGCATTCATTGGGCTGGGCCGGCACTACATAATAAGGGATTTTATGTCTTTCCAAGCCCGACCCGGCCATAACATCGGGCCTTTACATCTGTCCAAGTCAACCAAAAAATAATTACAAATCCCAAGTCCAGCCATCGGGCTATATGTTAAAAACAAAAATTAAAACATTTCATAATTAAATTTAATCACTCAATATATTTTCTTAAGTAAATATATTGACATCATTTTAAATTGAAGAATTTTGTGTACAAATTGGAAGAGTTTCTTAAATAAACTGAATCAAACATCACTACAAATGTGAGTTTCAATAAAATCAACAAAGATAAAGTTTACATCCCAACAAAAAAATATATTTTTAATATATTATAATTAATTAATTTAATAGTTGGTTGAGATGGGCCAAGCTGGATTGAAAGTATAAATTCCGAACTCATCACATTAATATATCGGGTTAAAAATATTGGCCCAACTTGACACTATGGACTAAAACAACCTTTCCAAACCCTAAAAAAATAGAGTCAAGCTGAGCGGGCCAACGGGTTGATGGCCACCTCTAGCTCAAACTGACAACTTTAAGGACCAAAATAATAAAATTAAAATTTAAGGAACTAAAATGACAATACGCGCATATTTTAGAGACCAAAATTGTCTTTTATCCAAGGAAAATATACGTTTCCCGTTATCAATGTAAACGGACATTAGATATTGGATCAAATTGACTTCAATTGACAACTTTAAGGATCAAAATGCCAACATTGAAACTTAAGAGACTAAAATAATAGGAAACAAATATTTTAGAGACTAAAGCTGTTTTTATCCTTAGAAAAATGACAATTTTTTTTGAGTGATCAAGAAATAGTCATTCTATATTTCCCAAAATCATTCCAATCAATTAAAGGCTACCTTAGTTAAAGTATGATGGGAAATTAAAAATTGTGTTAAATGAACAATTCTAAATATGGGAAATATCTATGCTTGACAATTGACAGTTGGGTTAAGGCAGGGGATACGAGTGCAACACGTTTAGTTAGACATGCAGTCGACAAATATTTTTAAGTAAATGAGTTAACTATAAAACTAAATTACGCATAATATACAAATACACAAAGTAAATTACATCCCGTCCCTGTAATTATGAAATTTATCCACGTCCTCCTGTCCTTTCGGATGAGAATTAGGTGAATTCAAACCTCGGACAAATACTGATAATCAATACTCATATTTGAGTCTATGTAAAATAGATTTACCTCATGATAACTAACAAAATAAATCATTAAAACTAAGAATGAGCATCACATACCTGAAAACATAATCCGTCTCAACATTTTCACCTTTTTATGCTTTTTCCCTTCAACAATTCTTACAAACAATTTTGGTTTTCCAGTTAAGAACATGAGAAAACCTATAACCAATCCCAATGCCATTCCATACGCATACCCCATCACCACGGCTTCCCAAGTAAATCCACTTACAAAATTTGAGTCATCTTCCTGTTGTAATAGCACCCCCGGCTGAACTTGTGATTGATTATCTTCACATTCCTTTGACAATGGAAACCCACATAATCCCAAGTTCCCAACATATGAATCATTTCCAAATGTATCAAATTGTTTGCCTCGAGGTATGGGTCCATCGAGACGGTTCCATGAAAGGTTAAAGACCTCAAGAAATGTCAAACTCAATAAATGGTTAGGAATGTTCCCAATAAGCTGGTTTGAAGAGAGGTCTAGTGATTCAAGCTCTGTCAAGTCTCCTAAAGATGATGGAATAAGGCCTATAAGGCTATTATGAGATAAATTAAGCACTATGAGAGAATTAAGCCTTCCGATGACATTTGGAATATCTCCACTAAATTTGTTAGATGATAAATCAATTGTTGTGAAGACAGTCAAAATTCTCGTTAAATAAATATCAAGCCCCTTCATCGTCACCGTAACTGAATAATATGCTCCAACACTAAAATATTTTTCATTTGGCATAGTTTTATTCCTTATAGCTTTGAAAAATTTGAAATATCTCCCTGGCAAATGACCAGTGAACTTATTGTGAGAGAGGTCAACAATTCCAACATTATCATATGTTACAACAGCAATAATGGTTTTCTGTCTTAACCTGCAACAAGGATTTAGAGAGAAAAACATGTAAGTTCAAGTGCTTAGTTTATAAGAATTTGAGAAAATGATGAGGTAACATGAAATCGCAAATAAAATGCATGAAATTTAAGAAATTATTGATAATGAAGAGTGGATAATAGGCAAAAAATTCAAGTTTTATGCAAAAAATAAAGGGTAAAATATATTTACCTTTTTATGATATGACCAAATAGCATTTTACCTCCATGTCTTTTAAAAATAACCACATATTTTAAACTAAAGTATTATAGTTATATTTTCCATCCAAACTAAAAGAGAGTGTCTCACATTCTTATTTTGAAAGTGGAGAAGGAAATTTTTTTTTATTAAAATTAAATTTCAATGGAAGAAAACGAATCTAGCCTTGTTTTACCTTTTTGTTCTTTTTTAAATCTAAATTTCTTATTTAATAACATTTTAAATGTTATTAAAAATGACTATCTAAAAAAAATAATATTTTAAATTAAACATACATATTATATATATATATATAATTAAATTAACCTAAACACCTTAATTTATTATTATAAAAATTAATCATCACATTGTCAAAACCTAATTTTTAATCTTTAACCATTTTTTTTATTTAATAACATTTTAAAATAAATATAAACATATATATATCATATCATATCATAAAATATATAAGTAAAATAGAGACTTTACTGAGTTATTTTTAGAAATTTGATGTGTTATTTTTAGCCTCTAAGAATTTTGCTAAGTGTCCTTCCTAGAGTTAAAGATGTGACTTTCTATCTTTTAAGTTTTTCCTCTTCCTTTGGCATTTTTTTTTTTTTTATCATCTCTTTCTTTTATCTTTTATTCCTCTTATGATTTTTTTTTATTTCACCGATAAATGTATTATTTTGTATATGCGTTTTGAATTATTCCACCCTATACATTTATGTTTATTAATTTTAGGGAAAATCGGTTTAAGGTCCCTATCCAACTTTTAGTAATGGATTAGGTCCACAATGTGTTCTTTTGTAGCCTAAGGTCCCTCAATGTTATTTTAGAGTGTAAAATACCTGTCTTACCCTTGTTTATAATATACGTTGTTTTCAATTTGGCAGCTAAAGATCATATTGATATTTTGTGGGAGATTACGTAAGGATGAACTTGACGATTCAGATTTTTGTGGAGATTTTCTAGGGTTTTGTAGGTGTTGAAATCCTGTTCGTTGTTTGTAGGTGTTGAAATCCTGTACGAGTTGAAATCATGTTCGTTGTTTGTAGGTGTTGATTGATCGTGTAGGAGTTGAAATCTGGTTCATTGTGTTTGATTTGATTTCATGTGGAGTTGAAATAGATAAGTTTTCAATTTTTGATTTGATTTGATCGTGTAGGTGTTGAATTAGGTTTTTGTTTTTAGTTTTGATCAATGTGAGAGAGACGAACTCAGTGTTGTTCTTTTTGATTTTTGAAGTTAATTTTTCATTATCTATTATTGATGAATTTTCGATGGAGTTGATTTTGATTTTTGGAGTTGCTTTTTCATTCTCTGTCAACATGGTTATGAGTTCCTTTTTGGTGCTCTGTTTTTCTGCGTTTTGTGCTCTGTTTTTTGTTCACTTTGCATTTTTTGTGTGTAGTGCAGATAAAATTGCAGGTTTGTTACTATAATTGAACTCAAATCACAGAGAAAATTGTAAACTTGTAGTGCAGTGAAAATCACAGAGAAAATTGTAAGTAGGCAGAGAAATTTACAGACGTAGCAATAGAGCAGTAAATGTTTTGTTTTTTTTAAAAATTTTTTTTGAATTAAGTGTTTTGTGAACATAACAGATTTTCTCTGTGATTTTTTTATGTGCTTGTGTTTAATATATTTTTGTCTCTTGATGTTAATGTGTTTTTGTTTTTGTTATATTGAAAGTGAATATAAGTTCACAAATTTCTCTGGACTTTTCTTTGTAGTCCAGAGAAAATCATATGATTGTATTACAAATGATAAGTATTACAAATTTCTATGGACTTATATGTTGTGTTTTTATGTGTTTTTATAGGTTTGCACTTTTCAAAGTTTTCTGATATGTTTTCTTTGCACTTTTCATTTTTTTTTTTTTTGCACTATTCATGGTTCTGGACTTTTCTTTGTAGTATAGAGAAAATCATAGGTTTGTTATTATAATCCAATGAAAATGACAGAGAAAATGTTAAGCTTGTAGTTGAGTGAAAATCACCCTTGAAGTTGGTGTCTTGAGAGTAAGTCTCTAGGTTCGTGGATCCGAACCCTTTCGAGTCCGAGTGCCTCGGATCTCTAGGCTTGCTTAATACCCTTTCGAGTCCGGGCTTGAGTAAGTCTCTAGGTTCGTGGATCCGAACCCTTTCGAGTCCGAGTGCCTCGGATCTCTAGGCTTGCTTAATACCCTTTCGAGTCCGGGCTTGAGTAAGTCTCTAGGTTCGTGGATCCGAACCCTTTCGAGCCATTCAACCCGTTTGACGGCGATAAATCCAAGCCCAACAATCTTGGACTTGCGATAAATTCGGGCCCACTAATCTTGGGCTATTGGGCCTAAATAATTTAGTGGGCTTAAATTAGCTCCTCTTACACTTGCTAATGCTTGCTTATACACAGAAGATTAAGTTTAAAATTATATGCTTGCATATACACATAGCGGGAGAATTAAGTTTTGAAGTTGGAAAAGATGACTTACACCTTTAAAATTAGAGATAACCTATGTGGCTTAGTTCTGGTGAGGTTGGGGATTGTTCAATTTAGGATAAAAGACAAGACACTTTTAGTCCCTAAAGTATATGTTGTTTGCCATTTTGGTCCCTTAAGTTTCAATTTTGTCATTTTGGTCTTCAAAGTTGTCAATTTGAGTCAATTTGGTCCCATCTCTAACACCCTTTTAAATTGATAACGGAAATATGGATAAAAGACAATTTTAGTCCCCTAAGTATGCATTCATTGTCATTTTAGTCCTTTAAGTTTCAATTTTGTTATTTTGGTCCTCAAAATTGTCAATTTGAGTCAATTGATTGACTCATTGACTCAAATTGACAAAATTGAAACTTAAGGGACTAAAATGAAAAAGATGGCATAATTTAGGGATCAAAATCGTCTTTTCACCAAAGATAAAATATTTTTCCCATTGTCAATTTAAACGAGTGTTAGAGATAGGACCAAATTGACAACTCTAAGGATCAAAATGATAAAATTGAAACTTAAGAGACTAAAATAATATGAAATGAATACTATAGAGGTTAGAACTGTTTTTATCCTTAGAAAAATGACAATTTTTTTGAGTGATCAAGAAATAGTCATTCTATACTACCCAAAATCATTCCAATCAACTAAAGGCTGCCTTAGAGTTAAAGTATGATGGAAAATTAAATATTGTGTTAAGTGAACTATTCTAAATATGTGAAATATCTATGACTGAGAATTGACAGTTGGGTTAAGGCAGGGGATATGAGTGCAAAATCGACAAATATTTTTAAGTAAACGAGTAACTATAAAACTAAATTACGCATAATATACAAATATAAAAAGTAAATTACAACTCGTCCCTTCAATTATGAAATTTATCCATGTCCTCCTGCCGTTTTGGATGAGAATTAGGTGAATCCGAACCTCGGACAAATACTCATAACCGATACATATATTTGAGTCTATGTAAAATAGATTTACCAAAAAAAAAAAAAAATGATAACACCTCCTTCATAGGGTTCTGCCTTTCGGGGCCAAAATTGGTGTATCTGAGCATTAATAAATAATAAAAGGTGGGGAATGTGGTGAATTACTGGTCTCACGCGAAAATACGATAACCTTGAATTGGCAACTTTTATGGGTGAACTATGAAGATTTCCAAAGTCAACCAGAGATAAAATTTTGCAGCTAATCATGATGATCAAGATGTATAGCATAAATTGAGGAAAACTAAAGTAATCTAGTGAAACTATTTGGGAAAATATATCAAGATTGACGAATAGAAAACCCAATCATATAGTTTATTTCAGTACAAAACTAGCTTTTGAAACTAACTGCATTAACATTAGCCATGGTTTAATGCCTAATCACAACAAATATATATTTTATTTATTTATTTTGGCTTTGGTTGTGCTCAATGAAACAAAAAAAACAATTCTATATGTATAACTGCTGGTTCTTGAGTGAATTGCTCATAGTGTTACTCATTCACAAAAAGAACTATATGTGCATTAGGCAGGACCCTAGCAGAATATATATAATAACCTTTTACTTATTCTGTTATTAGATAGTAAACTTTTAAAGATATAGAACCAGAAAAAAGCAACAAGTACCATGAAGTTAGAGAGTATAACACAATCATGATTTATGATAACTAACAAAATAAATCATTAAAACTAAGAATCAACATCACATACCTGAAAACATAATCCACGTTTGCTAATTTCTTCTGCCACCTTGTCTCAACATGTTCACCTTTTTATGCTTTTTCCCTTCAACAATTCTTACAAACAATTTTGGTTTTCCAGTGAAGAACATGAGAAAACCAATAACCAATCCCAATGGCATTCCACACGCATACCCCATCACCACGGCTTCCCAAGTCAATCCACTTACAAAATTTGAGTAATCTTCCTGTTGTAATAGCACCCCTGGCTGAACTGGTGATTGATTATCTTCACATTCCTTCGACAATGGAAACCCGCATAATCCCAAGTTCCCAACATATGAATCATTTCCAAATGTATCAAATTGTTTGCCTCGAGGTATGGGTCCATCGAGACGGTTACATGAAAGGTTAAAGACCTCAAGAAATGTCAAACTCAATAAATGGTTAGGAATTTTCCCATTAAGCTGGTTTGAAGAGAGGTCTAGTGATTCAAGCTCTGTCAAGTCTCCTAAAGATGATGGAATAAGGCCTGTAAGGCTATTATGAGATAAATTAAGCACTATGAGAGAATTAAGCCTTCCGATGACATTTGGAATATCTCCATTAAATTTGTTAGATGATAAATCAATTGTTGAGAAGATAGTCAAAATTCTCGGTAAATAAAAATCAAACCCCTTCATCGTCACCGTAACTGAATAATATGCTCCAACACTCAAATATTCTTCATTTGGCATAGTTTTATTCCTCATAGCTTTGAAAAATTTGAAATATCTCCCTGGCAAATGACCAGTGAACTTATTGTGGGAGAGGTCAACAATTTGGAGTTTAGGGAAATAGAGTTTTGGCTTGGAAGTGTCTATTGGACCGTGAAATTTGTTGGATCGCAAGACAAGAACTCGTAACTCTGGAAGTATCCTCAACCAGTATGGAAAAGTGTCATTTATCTTGTTGTTTCCGAGGTCTAGAACTTGTAACTGTCTACAATTGGTTAAGGATTGTGGAACTGGTCCTTCGAACTGATTTCCATTCAAATTAAGAATTTCCAACTGATTACCCTCTCCAAATATCATGGGGATGTTCCCTTGAAAGGCATTGAACTGCAGGTCTAATACAAGTAGAAAGTTGCTGGGGTTTCTCAAACATTGTGGAATTGCACCACTCAAGTGGTTGTGAGACAAACAAAGGATGGAAAGGGAACTCACATTGCAAATTGAAGAAGGAATTTCTCCAGTGAGTTTATTTTGTGAGAAGAAGAAGGAAGATACGAAGGGTGGAGGAACTGGGAGTGGTCCTTGAATCAAATTGAAACCAAGATCAAGATTAACAAGATTTTTTAGATTTGAGAATGTTTGTAGCTCTACAACACCACTCAAATTATTTGACGAAAGATCAAGTAGTGTCAAATTCACAAGATTTGAAATTGATTGTGGAATGGGGCCGTGTAGTTCATTATGACTCAAGTCAATGAGCATCAATTTTGATTTATGCTGGAACTCAGGAATTTGGCCAGTTAGTCGATTACTACCCAGGTATAATTCCATCAATGACGGAAGATTCAACAACCAAGATGGTAGTGTCCCATTCAGTGAGTTATTGCGCAAGAAAAGTGCTTGTAGGTTGTTTAGCCCACTAATGTTGGAGGGAATGGGACCCATCAGTTCACTACTTGATATATCTAAATAACCAAGTTTTGTCAGGTTGGCTACCCAACATGGAAATGGACCATTGAAATTGTTATCTCCAAGTGCTAAATACTCTAGCTTTATCAGCTTACCGATAAAAATAGGAATTTTTCCATGGAGATTATTTCTAGAAAGACCCAAGGAAATGAGCTGATTAAGATTTGAGAGAGTAAATGGGATCTGACCGTTGAAACTATTTCCCCATAACTCTATCTCAGTGATCTGTGTAAGGTTCCCGAGTGATTCAGGAATGGACCCGGAGAATTTGCAACCACTGAGATCCAAGGACATCAAAGACCTGAGATAGCCAATTGAATCTGGTAATTCTCCAGAAAAACTCGAATACCGAAGATACAACTGCTGGAGGGAACTACTACTACTCCAGTTTACTTTGGGTAAATTACCAGTGAGATCATGGTTGTCTCCTAAAAAGAGAATTTGCAAGTTTGGAAGGTGAAAAATGCTATCTGGTAATTTCCCATGCAACCTGGTGAAACCAAGATCGAGATGTGTCAAAGAAGACATATTCGTGAAAGACATCGGTACAACTGAAGATATGTTTACACCAGAAAGGACAAGTTCTTGCAATTGGGTTAGGTTTTTGAGCATCATTCTGAAATTGTGCGGTTCAAGTCTCAGTTGATCCAAATAGAAGGAGAGATCGAGTGAAACTAGTTTGGACAGGTGGCGAATTTCTGATGGGATTGAGCCTGAAAAACTGGAAAAAGATAGGTTGAGATGTGTCAAATTGGGAAAGTGAGCAAATGCTGATGGAATGTGGGAGTAATTGAAGTGATTGAAGGCGAGATTGAGGTGGTGCAGGTGAGAGAGTTGGAAGAGGCTACTGTTAGGATGGATACTGCCATAGAGCTGGCTACAACTGAGGTCAAGCCCAATCACGTGACCCGTCAGACCATCACACGTGACTCCTTCCCACGAACAACAATCAGTACAATTCTCGTTCCAAGATAACATCTTTGGAGAAGCCAAATCCAAATGCTTACACCACCAAGAAGCATAGGTAGAGGTGTTTATAGTAAACATATGCTTGAATTGCAACAATGCAAACCTCTGGTCATGTGGACACAAATGATGTGTACAAGTAGAAAAAGAAGAGATAGATGATGAACAAGAAACCTGATGATATTGCATGAAATACAAAAGGAATTGGAACAACCATATCAATCGCTCCATTTTTTGTTTTTGTTTTTGTTTTTGTTGTAAGAGAGGAGAATCAAGTACGAGAGTTAAGTGAAGAGGACGATGAGAGAAAGTGGGTAGTGATTTATTAGTCTAATTCATCATTTTATATAGGAAAAATTTTACGAGAAATTATCAATAGGTGCTAATATTTAGACTTAATTCTCATTAAGTTCTATTGAAAGTTAATCCAAATAAAATCAACGCTAAAAATAATTTTTGGTGACGATTTTTATATTTCGCTAAAAATTAATAATTAGTAACAATTTTTTTGTCACGATTTTTATAAATTGTCACTAAAATTGACAATGAATAACATTTTTTTTTTGTGATAAATTTTTCAAACTGTCGCTAAAAGTTAAAAATTAGTGATTTTTTTTGTGAAGATTTTTTTAAATTGTTGTTAAAACTTATAATTAATAATGTTTTTGTGACAAATTTTCAAACTCTTAATGAAAATTTATAGTTAGTGAAGTTTTTAATAATATTTGATGAAAAACTTCGTTAATTATCACAAAACCTATTGGATAATAAGTTCATAACCTAGAAGACCATCATTTTCTTGATGAGTCCTTCCTTTTGGAGTTGCTTCCTCAATTATTTATAGCGTGTTGAATGGGTTGTTTACTTCAATTAACGCAATTCTTAAAAATCATTTCCATGAGCTTGACTTTTTTATTCAATTTGGCCCTAAGGGCTTCGTCTTCAGTTTTGGGTGAGAAATTAGTGGTGGTTAAGAGTTTTAATCCAAACTAATATCCTTTAAAATGTCCAAATTGGAAGAGGAAATTATAATTTGCTACACCAATAAATATATGTGGTATCTCTACTTATATTTTATTAGTTAAAATAGTGACATTTACCACTTTTATGTTTTTTTAGGAGAAAATATTACACTAGTTTTGAAATAAGTGGTACAAAGCAAAACTAAATTGGTTCATAAATATTTTTTTTTTTTTAAAATACAATGAAAGTGTCATAACCAAAGTCACTTCAATTCAAAACAAAACAAGACAAAGTCTCATAACCAAATTCGTTTCGATTTATTACTAAACACTGCAAAATCTTATAATCGAACAGTAATTCTAACTGTAATTATTGAATTGTGTTTAATTCAATAGGCCAATGCAATAAAAAAGAAAAAGAAAAAGAAAAAGGGATTTAATCAGTAAATAACCAAATGATTATATCTAATTGTCGCTAATAGTTGCACCTAATTATTAGGTCAAGCTTAAAAAAAAAATTCTAAATTTCATATTCAGTATAAATTTTCTTTGAAATATCTCAAAAAAGCAATCCAAAAACAATTTGTTTGGTTCTGTCTTTAAAATGTGTTCAATGAAAAACTAAAGCTAATGAAAATTTATTCTAGTGAAAAAATAATGAAAATCCCCAAAAGACTTAACATTTTCATATTGTTCTCTTTTTTACACATACTCACCAATAAATAAATAAATAACAGTTTTAAAATTCAAAAATATCTTTTTGATATTTATTTTCACCAAACTAGTTTTTTAATATTTTTTTCAAAAAATAGATTATGAAAACAAAACCAATAAAGTGATAGATTTTATTAAACATAGTTGTAGAGCTAAATTTATAACATTTTAAAGTTTAAACAAAAAAATATATATATATATTAAAGAAGCAAATCAATAATAAAAAAATATTGTGACTATGTCATTCGCACAAATAAAGATTCAAATTTAATGTCTTATACATGCACATATGTGAATTTTTGAGCAATTATTTCTATTTTCTTCACTTTATGTATAGAATACCCAAAATAAATAAATAAATATGTATAAAAAAATGTGAAGTCCATATCCATCTGTAGCGCCTCGAAAAATAAACCAATATGCTCAACAACATCAACTGACATCCACAAAATAATGACAATAATCCTTCCATTTCTATATAGTTAATAAGCAAGTAAAGTCCATATCCATCTGTAACGCCTCGAAAATAAACCAATATGCTCAATAACATCAACTGACATCCACGAAATAATGACAATAATCCTTTCATTTCTATATAGTTAATAAGCGAGTTTACACAAAAGTTTCACATACGAATTATACATTCATTGGTAGGAAAAAGCATGAATCTATAGCATGTGAAGCATACAGTCTCAAAAATAAACAAAATGCCCTTATGGGCTTATATCTTCCAAGGCATGAGCCTGGTTACACCAAATGGTCATTCGGACCCATACACTTTTAACCCTTGGCTTTACAAAAAAATGTACAACACAATAGAGTAATCTACTCTTCTCAAAACATATCCACGCCCTCAGCTCGACGGGATTACTACATCTTTACCTGCACCAAATCCCATAAGGGTGAGCATAAAGTCCAGTAGAGAATTTCTTACAAAGTATATACAGTTATGCAAACTCTCAATGTAAAATGCAAATGTCCATGCCATGCAATGCCATTATAAGGAGAGTTTCATGTCATGTTCTTGTTGATGGTCAACATGTTTCAATGAAAGTTTGCGATCTCAACAATTTCCAAAGAAAACTTTCCATTTTAATTTAATAGGGGCGGTAAATACGAGTCAGGTAATCCCTAGGTTGGTGTCTGCAAGTAGGCTCAACAAGCACTACCAATAACCCACTTTACCGGTTGCTAACTGGAAGGGAAGTGGTACCTCCTCCGTGCGTGTTTTTGGTCTTTCACCCCAGACACTCAGGCCAACTTATCAAACTCATCTACACCCCTATCCGGACTTACCAACGTATTTACCCCACAACACATTTCCATAGTTCTTATTACAATGCCTTTTTCTTTCATGAAGTAAATATCTTCAATCTAAATTCACAATGCATAATTATAAATTGAATGAGCATGCAATGCAATGATTTTCCATACCTCATAGCATTTCTCCATTTTCAAATATGTCTACAATAATGTCAATAATCACACTTCCTATTTCCTCGTTTCAATGTTCTTCCACAAGATAACCATATGTCATCAACACATAGTTACAACTTCTTATTTCACAAGTCTCAACAATTTAGTCTCTTCAAGACTACATGTGGTGTTTTCAAACATTAATCTCCAATGTTTATAAATCTTACAAATCCATAGTGCACAACAATTTGTCATCTCATAGCCATATATCATCATATATTTAACAATAGTTTCTAAAACAAATTCTTCATTTCGATATATCAATTTGATTTGCCATTTTGTAAAACCACATCATGAAACCTACACATATCCATTCTTTTATCACATGAAGAATAAAATCACTCTAGACATTTCCATACTTTCCAAAATCCCTAGATTTCTAGGGTTTTTCATCATAAACCAAACATTTCCATTTCCTTGGTGAAGCCCTACCAAAACCATTTTTCTTGAGTTTAATAAAAAGGAAAATAACCCTAGGATTAACAAGGGTTGAGATTTAAAACCCACTCTTTAAAACTCTCTACAGTTTGGTCTCAAAATAAACATCAACATAAGATTTCAAGAAAACTTTTTAAATCAACATCATTATAGCAAAACATGTATATATAACTCAAGAAATTCCTACCTCAAGGTTTGATGAAGAAATGGAGGTGAAACCCTAGCTTTGATGGAAGATCCTTCAACTTCCACTACACCAAGAGGAGCCCTAGCTTGATCTTCAAGATTAGAGGAAAGATGATGATCCTAGGCTCAAGGAATCACAAGGAAATCAAGGATTTGGAGTGCTAGGTGAGGGTTTTTAGAGAGAAGGAAGAGCAAAATGGTGTTTAGAGTGAGAGAGGAAAGCCCCAAATGTGATACAAATTCGGCCAAAAGAGCAAAAAAAAAAAAAAAACAGAGATTCGGATCCAGGCCTGTCCCGCACGTGCGGCATGTGCCCCCGCACGTGTGGCTGCCTTCTTCCCACATGTGCGGCACTGATCTCCGCATGTGCGGCTGCCCCTGCACTTCCTCTCCGCACCTACAATTTAAGTAGTGTGCTATGCCAAACAACCCCTGAATTCCGCACGTGCAGCCTCACTCCCCGCACATGCGGCCCTTGGTTTCCAACCCAACATTTTCTCTCTTCAATTCTAGGTACCTTAGATCGGACCTCACATCCTCCGGGACAAAAGGAAATCAACACCAAAGAGGCAAGAACAAGAATTTGAGACAAACTTCTGAGCACGACAACAACTCGAAAGATTTAACAAGACTTCATGTGAGACTCGACACACTAACGTGACAAATTCGAGATGAAACAAGGGAAAAGGACGGATGGAATGCTAGGTCGTCACACCATCAGATTCAAAAATGGTTCTTGGCTTGCAGTGGATGTTGCGGCATCTTAGATTTGTACAATAAAGCTCACGTCAAGATTCATCAAGCAATGGTAAAAGTGAACTATATTAGAATATTAGTACAATGGTTAAGGATTTTATGGCGAAATGTAAGTTATTTAGCAAGGGAGAGGATCTCCTCCAGTTCAAAGGAGGGAGCTGTTTGGATTCGTGAGACTCATCACGGATCCTGTTTGAATAATTTGAACCATTTATTTTGTTAGGCAATTCATGTATTTCATCCAAACCAAATCAAACAAGTCTGAAGTCCCATCATATGGGGTCAGCTACATGAATCTTTCTTCTCCATTCAGCTATATCAAAGGCTATTTGGTTAGTCAAATTAAGGAGATTCATATCTCACTACATTATCCCCACATCAATCTACGTTTACCCATATTACAGGAAAATACACCTTCAGCTACTAAAAACTTTGTAACGCCACAAATTTTTATCCCAAATGATAATACAACAATCATGG